CCCCCCCCCCCCCCCCCCGTCTGCTCAGTGAAATGTGACAGTCCTCGGCTGACATTATGCAAGTGGCAGCTGGGGAGGCTCAGAGCACTGCCTCTGACTGACAATGGGAACTCAAATTGAATCAAGGGGACAGAGGTAACGTCTGGCACACAGATTTGTCCGAGGTAGAGGACATTCACTGGATGGAGATCAAATCAGCCAATACTTTTAGCCTTTGCTTTTTTTGAATTTAGCATCCCTGATGAATCTCCACAAATAAGAAAATACATATAAATATATTTTTGTCACAACACATACAGCTCACAATATGAGCAGCGGGCTATAGCCTTTAAAGTTGCACAGTTCTGCACACATCTAACTTTATAGACGAAATGTTCCTGGAGAACTGAGCCCTCAGGTCAGACCTCAGCAGTACTTTGATGAGATTAGTGGTGTTATTATGAGCAGACAGGGCTGCACAGTCATGCTGTCAGCTCACACTAACCGCTGCACGAAGAGGAACCACAGAGAACAGGTTTACCCATCAAGTGTGCCAGCAGTTAATGACTCAACATGTGGGGAGAGGTAGTCTGCTAAACTTAGACTCCCTTCACTGCTGGAAGCACATATTGTTCTCACACTGCAAAGTATAACATGCAGAAAATATTGAGTTAAGGTATTCATAGGCTATAGAAAGCACAGTCATTGGACAGATAAAGTGCAACTTAATTAAATCTAAATCATTTATTTTTTTATGTCAATTGTATAAGGTATTCCAAATTATAGCCAAATGTATTGCAATTTAAGAATCAGACTAGCGTACTACTTTATGTCCCATCAAAGTTGTTTAAATGACTTGATTCAAATCTAGATTAAAAAATATATACATCTAACCAAGGTCAGATTTTAAACAACCAAAATGCAACTCCCATCCTGCAATGAATGCAACAATGGTGTATATATTTGCACATCCTCTGCTGCATCCTTCTGATCCACCAAGGATGCAAAGCCTCTTACCGTACAACGTGTAGCCTGAACCGCCGCGCAAGTATCCGCCTCTATGCTCGGATCGCTGGAGGTAAATGCCCCTCTCTGATCTAAATGATCGACCTGCCATGAGGATCAGAGGCACGCGCTCGACGCGGCGGCACCGAGCACATTACCAACGGCATCGTGCGGACGGATAACGTGAGCGGAGTGAGGTCCCTGCCGTGTGTGGAGCCGCCAGCAGTACCCCCCCCCCAACACCCTGGACGCTATCAAATCCATAACATGTTGAGCCCCACACCTGTCAAGGTAGAAAGCTATGAAAGGAAAACTTCCGATGATGATATTTCAAAATTAAAGCCTCATTGGCGAGAGAGTCGCCTGAAACAGTTGATGACCAAGTAGCCTAAATATTGAGTGCTGACCCAACATTTTGGACATAACAAATGTATATTTCTGTGTGCACGTAAAAAAAAAAATTATATACCTTTTAAAATTTGTGATTTTCACTCAAAGCACCAAATCATGGAATCATGGCAATAGCCTACATTTGTATATTATGAGATAAAGGCAAAGCAAATGTAAGATGATTAAGTTTATTCAGTATATTGATTGAGTAGATTGAAGAACATAGGCCTGTCACCCTTCTAAATTATAGAGAATACAATAAAGACAATGTGCATGCTTGAAGAATGCCACTAAATGCAATGATTGACTGCAGTGTCCAATAGTTTTTTAGTACACGGAGACCACAGTAACTACCAATATAAACCAAAAGCAAAGCTATGCGGACTCCTAGAAGAGATGGTTTCTCTGTTTAATATAAAACTAAAATCAAAAGTGAACAAAAAAGTGTGATTATTTCAGCCAAGCACACTTTCATTATTGTATTTAACTTCAGTCCTGTCCAGTATTTACTAAACTGTACGGATTTGTATACCGTACATTTTCTACACAGCTGCTCACTACTTGTCATTGTTCTAGTCAAAATGACACAAGTTTACGCTTTTATTTTGAAGAATATAAGGCTTAGTGTCCTGTCTTATTGTGGTGGACTTGAGCCAGATGATTGGTTGGCGGTGTGTAAAAAAGATGACACGCTGTGCGGTTGCACAACACGGTTGTCATTGGCTGTCAAGGTCACGTGACAACCAAACTAAATACCGTGCTCTGTAGTCTGAGTATCCAGAAAAGGCTAATGTTTATGCATGTAGTTGTAAAACAAAAACAAAAAACATTATCATTACATTTGTTTGGTTCTCGTGATAAACTAAATGTTCCCTCTCAGACTCAATGTCTTATAATCTCTATTAAATCCCTGTTTGCAACTCAGTTTAGTTTGCAATCTACAGTATTTAGTTTGGCAGTATAGCTCACATGGTGGCAAACAGATCTACGACACACATGAGGGCTATGACCTGCATGTTTTGAAAAACAAAATAATGCAGTGACCACTTCCTCTCTTTGGCACCAAGCATAGACAACATAGTGAGCTACAGTGTGCATCAGTGTACTGGATTTTGCAAAGACATAAATGAAATGGAGGTCATAATAATGCAAAAACTGTCGTAATAATAAAAAATATAGTGAGCAGTGAGTTAACCATTTTGCATTGGTGGAGTAGTAATTAGCACACATTATCATGTCGTATCCAGTTTTTGTTGTCCTCTGCCTCCCATAGCTGCATCAGCTCTGATTCCATCTGTGCTTTTTCTGTCCCTAAGATGGTTAATGGCAGTGACTTAATTGTGGCTCATCACTGCCATTCAGAGAGCACAAAGCCCTCATCCCGTCTCCCTCACATCGTCACCATTCAGAGCACACATGCTCTTTTACGGCTGCTGCACTGCCTCGCATTACAATTACAGACATCGGCAGAAGTATGAGCTGAAAGCACACTCCCACACGGTGGGCCAACAGGGAGAGCTGTTGAAAACACACGTGTCCCCGCAAGTGAGGTTTAGAGGCTCATAAACAACAGTGACTTCACCTCCGCAGTGCTGCATTTACTGTCGGCCTCTTTACCGACGCTCTGTTTAATCTATTCAATGAGGGATTCACATAGTAGGCATGGCACCATCCTTCACATTGTTTATGTTTCAAGGACTCTACCACCCCCCCCCCAGCATGAATATTGGTGTTTTTATACAGCTGCAAATGTTAGTCAGAGGCATACATAATCTCACAGGTTGAGGGGAAACCAAGAGTCTCTCTGGCTGAGGAAACTAAAGCACAGTGATAATGCAAGACAACAGAGAGGAGGAATAGCTAAAAAGAGGAGCCATATTGTCATTTTGTTGATTTAAGCCATTGATATCTATTTATATTTCTGTATTGTTTATGTCTGTATATACATTAGAAACAAAACCTCCAAAGCAAAAACACATCAAAATATAGGTACAAAAGATCCTCTTCTGCACTTTGCCCAGCGTTTCCTTATAGATGTAATTGTTGCGTAGTGATCTAAGTGCTCAGAGAACAGGGAGAGCAGAAAGCTCCTCCACAGATTCAGATGCATGACTTTTCCTGCATCTGACATCCTGTTGTTAAAACACAGCAGCATATTATGTCATTGTTGCACAAATTACAGTTCACAGTCTGCATAACCTCTCTTTTATTTCATTGTTATCCAACTTGAAGTAGAAATCTCAATACCTACAAATAAAGCACGGTGGTTTCCTATGTGAAGTCACAATCTGACCACCTGTTTTAGGAGCTCTGTGTTAAGCTTCTCCGTCTTCGGTCAAACAGTATTCTGTGTTGGCTCAGGTTTAGATCACAAATAGATTGTTTCATTCTCCATTATATATTCTAACCAGAGAGATGGAGCCAACAAAGCCTCGGGAATGTCTATGAGGGGCACGGTTATATACACCAACACATATAAACCACATCGTCTTTAAAGTCTGTCACTGCAAAACGAGTTGGGACTAATTGTAGTCAACGTCCCTCAGTCCTTCTCGCTTACTGATGGATCTCTTTTATTGCTCCAGACTGGAAAAGAGATCCATCAGCACCACTCAATGACTCAAACTGCTAATTGGAGAAAGGGAGGCACTGCCATCCACATGAGGGACATAAACCCGGTTAAAAGCTCCTTTAAAACTGCCTCCACATTGGTTATCTTACACCAGGTCACCACTATCTCAGGGAGATCTCACTAAACAGCTGAGCCTTTATATCTACTGAAAGTCTATTTACCAAGATCTCATCAGCTTTTATTTACTCAAGTACAAATGTGGACATACCACGCTTGCGTCTGTTTTCTTTCATCTTTCCTTGCATCTCTCTCTTCATAATTTTACCATGCATACTCTATTGCAACCCTTTACGCACTAATTGGATTTTCCTTACTGATTGTAATCAGTTAAACAAAATGCTCTCATGACCTCACCCTCAGTCAAAATAAAACGGCCCTTTCTTTGATTCAAATATCATCAATTCAGTAGTTTTGTACTTTGTTTACCTGTTCCCAAGTCATTTATCCCAAACATTGATACACATAAACTGCAGAAAAAGCTGTGATTCACATTATTTCCTTAACCACTAACAGGTGTCTTGCACATTAGCTCTGGATACTGTCGATGAAGGTCAGCGCTGTGTAAATAAACCTCCGGAGAAGAGACAGGAAGCTGTGGACAACGGTACATTGCATACTGCAATCTGAGTCATCTATGTGTCAAGAGGCATGTTTACAATTCCTGAAGGGTTACCAAACTTAACTTCCATTGTTATTATGAAGGAAAAGCCACTTCAAGATCCTCAATCACAGCTTCTGGGATGTGAAAAACCTTCAAAACCAAACAGCACAAAGTCCAACGGAAAAATGCACAGCTGGCAAGATGAAAGAGCTGCTGAAATCTGTGTGTGTGTGTGTCTGTTCAACAGGAGAGGGATGAATTAATATAAATAGCATACGATACAGAACAATGTAAGGGCACCGAATATCACATTGACTGGAAAACTGCTGCTAAATTAAATAACGTGGCAGTTGGAAGTCTAAAACATCACGACATGAGACAAAACAATGAAACAGCAGACCCTCACCATCAGACTAAATGAGACTTTAACAAGCATATCTGCTTGACAACAATACGATCTACAGACTCAAAATGACCATGGACAGGATCAACAAAAACCAAAAATAATGAGCTTCATCAAATTGACTCACAGCTAATAACTTAAGATGTTTCTGTTATTTTGTCCACCGCATTCTGTTAGTGTTTCAAGCCTCCACTCACGTGCACCCCACTGTCAGTGTTCTTATCCTTCTTTCTATTTTTAGACATGAAATAGTGGAGCGGAGGACAGTAAAGGTAACCCAGATCTGTCACATGAAAAACATGAACGATGAAACACTGGTGTTCAACGTGGTTAACAACTTCTCTTAACTACCATCTATTGTGTAGAATTCCAAACCAACGGGATCATAATTTCATGCCCGGATGGAGACATGAGTTTGAGTAAACACAGATAAATGATTCCTATCTCTCCGGAGGACTTCACTGATTGAAACAACACATGAAGTGTGTTGCTTTTATGAACACCAGAGGGAATACAAAGGCAAAATGTGATCTCCGGCAAGACACAGTCATGAATGCCATCAGACACAGAGCTCTCCTCCGTTCAACCCTCCCTTTTCCAAGCGTGGCGGCAGCACTACAGTGTACTATAAGTGTATATATACCACAATACACAACACACTCCTGCATGCTTTTAATGTTCGGATATTTGGCACTTCCTGGGAGACGAATGGAAAATGGCCTTTCAGTGCCCCTTACAGGCCTTATGCAAAAAACAAGTCCTCGCCTTAAAGAACCATTTTGGCACAACCAAAGAGGTAAATTAACTACGAAACTTGTGGTTTACCAGAAAACAACTTTGTAGCAGTTCCTCTGCTGATTTCGAGGCAGATGGTTTTCCATATTGTTGCTTTTTGTACATAACACACAATCTGCAAAAGGGACACGTCTGAAATACCAATTATTAAATACAAAAATAAAGCAGACTTGTAAAAATTTAATTATGAAAATCCCTCCAGAAAAAATAGATTTCTTCTGCCTTTACATTCATTTACAATATTTTAAAAAATGATTAAAAAAAATCCCGTAGAAAGAGTAGCTAACAATATTTACTCCATTACAAAGGTTTTGTTCTTCGAGGCAAATTATTTCGCTGGTTAAGTTCCTGTGAAAAACTAACGGAAGTCTCGGTCCTTCGTCATCGCCTGTGGCTGCTCTGGTCGCTGCCTCTGGTTCACGTGAGCGGGCTCTTGTGAACTCATGACAATGTCCACAGATATTGGAAATGAAAAACGATCCCTCATCCGTGCGATCTTCTCCTGTGGGACACCGTGCTTGTTCCTCCTGGAGGAAGAGAGTGCAGTGTGGTGATGTTAGCATCTATACGTATTAAACGTCTGGCATGTACATTTTATTTAATATGATAATTAAGGAATCGTACTTCTCCAGCTCATAAAGATCAAACTTCCAGCTGGTGTCAGGTTCACAAAAGTCCACTTTGTATCCTCTCTCTAGGGCCTGTTCAAATTGTAGGAAATCTATGAAGGTGGTGTAGTACTCCATAATCAAAACACACAAATATATTTGAAATCCCATACCCACCATTTGGACGTATGGCTTCATTTCCCAGGCTTGGACATTTGTATTGTCAACAATAATGGGAGATCGGCCATCATGCATAGCATCTTTAGCTGAAAGAGAATTAAACACAAAAAAAAACCAGATTGATTTCTGGCAGGAAAATAAAAATCCCATCAAATCCCATTTTCTAATCTGTCATCCACCTAAAGGCGAGCTCAGACTACACACATCAGGAGAAACTTCACAGATGTTCTTCTCTCTAATCTCAAACATGCACACACTACAAGATATTATTATTACGATCATAGAGCGAAGCACAAAACTTGAATTACACCTTGTGGTTGTATGCCTCCGACAAGTTGCAGTTTACATATAGTGTCCAAAATGTCATCACTTCATCATTTTATCCTTTTAGACATTTGTGTGAAATTGTCATAACTGGAGTATGAATTATCGAGTTATGGCACAAAACATGCTTTGTGAGGTCACAGCGACCGTGACCTTTAACCACCAAAATCTAATCACTTCACCACAAGTGGATGTTTGGGCCAAATTTGAAGAAATTACCTCCAGGCGTTCTGAGATATTTGTGATCATTTGGGACGTGAAGTATTCTCTAACGATAACGTGTTGCTTTCATAATGCATCCACTTCATGAGCTAAAAGAGTGCCTGATGTTAGCTTGTGTGGGTCTAGGTGGAGATGACATTTAACAGGCAGAGACACTGAACTAGCATTTCTGTCTGGCTTAACTACTCTCCATGCATGTATGGAAATACTCTCACTGTGAAGAGAACACAGTACTCTCCTGATTGAGGTTTGACAGAAATGCCTTCGTGATGAAAACATAAAAGAAATAACTTTTATAACATCAAAGCTGTCTGAGCATTTAAGGAGACAATACCTCTGTTCTGGTTCCATTCATGCGCTGCACCGAGAAGGCCTGGGTCATAGCGGTACCCGTCTCTGTAAGCAAAGTAGTCATCTGTGCTCAGTATCAGCCCGTTGGGACCAGCGAAGAGCCGCTCCCTGTGAGAAAGATGGGACGCAAGTGTGCAATGAAAATAAAACGTCAAGGCTTGGAAGTATAGAGTTGGAGTTTTAGATTCCTTTAAACTGACAATGCACGCATTTATGAGACTCGAGATTACACAAAGACGTACCTGGCCAGTGTTGATTTCCCAGATCCGGGTAATCCCCTCATCAAGATCAGCACCAAGGAAGAATGGAATGCATTAGTGTTGGCAGGAGGTCGGCAAGGATGCTCCCACGGTTCATTTTCTGAGTCGTATCTCTGGGATCTGTCATAATCTTCAACAAAGTGACACGATTCTTCTTCTCTACCAACATTTACATCATCCGAGTGCCGGTCATAGCTACGCCGTTCGTCCCTGTCAAACCGGTGTGGAGAATCTCCATAAAAGCCCTGAGAGGGGTGACTGCATACATTTGGAGGTGGAAAGCTAGAAAATGTTGGAAACTCCTCTTGGTGCTGGTTTGTCGGGCCTGAACCGCTCCAGTTTGGACTTGCGGTGGATGGTGGGTTTTGTGGATTTGGGAATGCATTTGGGTGTGGTGGGCGATGGAATGGGGGTCTGTGAAATCTTGTGTTTGGTGGTCTGTTCAACGTTTGAGGGTTATGCCATTGGTTTTGAGCAGGAGCAGCTGGCCTCAGTCTTCTAGGGTGGTATGGCTCGTTCTGATACCAGTGGGACCAGGACGGCTGATTCTGCCCACTGTTTTTCTGGAAGCCCTCTGTTCCCGCATGACTGCTTGTGTAAACATCTTTTTCCTCGCTTACGTCCTGAGTGTGTTTGCTTGTAGGTGTTTTGGGAGTTATGGGTGGTTGACCATCAGGTGCATCAATCTTCTCAAGCTCTTTGTAAAACTCACTCAGTGTATCTTCAATGTCAGACTTGACCTTTTTGGATTTTGGAGGAGGAAACGCTGGACCGATGAAGGTGGTGCTGGTGAGTCCTACCTGCTTTACCGCTTGCTCCCTCACACGTCTGTCTCGACTGACATTGCTCGCAAATTTAGCGTCTTTGTCAGCAGAGCCATCTCTTCCATTATTGGTTCTTCCACCCACACCCACCAAAGGTTTTTTTATGCGAGAGGTCGTACAGGAGGATCCACTATGAGACATCTGCATTGGACAACAACACAAATTCAGTCTTCAGTGCTGAGAAAACATGGTTACAATGTACGTGAGTAGCTAACAGTTAAATAAGTAGGTATATCAGTGCACTTAGGCTGAAACCGAAACTAACTAAAACATTAGGTTAGCTAATGTCATCGCACGAGCTACACGGAAGACGGCGCAAAACACAACGTTATAATATTATTATATGTAATATATTATTGTTACCACCTTAATATTCAACATAAAGTATATGTCACTATTCATCAATACTCACTGTATGTATTCAGGACGCATAAATGATGGAAATAACGACATTAACAAAAAACACGAGTTTCACATAGCAGGTGCCTGTGTTTACGGAAGTGACGTTTTTCTTCTTCTTCTTCTTCTCTTCCTTAGCAGCCGGGGGCGAAGGTATGCCCGGCTTACCCTGCAACCAGAACTAGCCAATCAGAGGCAGAGTAGGGCTGGCCGGGGAATCAGCTAAAGAGTGCGTCAGCACCTCCAGCTGGACTGGAGTGTGACACAATAGACATCCCCCAAATAAATCCATGAACGAGTCGTTGACAAAATATGATCGTAATAGTATTCAAAATATAAAATTTTGTTGCTTTCTCTTCCCCTATTTCTCCTTTTCAAAACAAAATATTACCGGAAGTGGGCTTGATTATTAGGAGTAAAAGACATTTTAACTTAAGGCAAACTGGGTTAGTTTAACATATAATAAAAGTATTTTGACGACATTAACCTTCTTAAGTTATAATTTTACTTAAAATGAGAATTTGGGGCAATTTTCTATAATTGTACTAATAATCAGCGTTTTTGGACTGATTTAACACATAGTGTAACCTTTTTCTGCATTTGGTAATTTTGTAGCATCATAGCGTGTAGTAGTCTTTCCTACTATTTAGCAACTTCACTACTATATTGATGGAGGATTCCATTTTGACGTACTTTACATTTTTGTCTTTAAATAACAACCCTGATATAGTATATGTAAACATTTTAGAATTCACTTAAAAAAAATGAAATAAAATGACCTATGTCATTATCTACAAGTGTGACTCCCTGATCAGACCTCTGTTATTTGTCCTCAAACGCAGCACAAATAGGGAATCATGGAGCTAAACTGCAGTAATGAAATTATAAATTAGAGTTCAACTTTACAGTAGACAAAAGAAAAAGTAGACAGACGAGAAGAATGAAGATCAGTATGAAGCAATGACATGATTTTACTAATCTGAAGTGATTTAAACTTTATAATTTGTCCAGTGGGACAACAAAAACAACCACAAAATATGTTCCATATGCAGCCTGAACATTCATTTATTTGTACAGTGTATTAAAAGTTGTAGTGTGTTTGGCATCATACAGTCTTATGTACCTGCAGTAAATCACCAACATGCAATGCCTGAGTATCAATCATAGCCAGTTCCTCATCATTCACCCATTCATCCTCCACCGGTGAATTGACAGGTTTGCGAGCTGGAGTCTGTACAGTTTTTAAAGTGCTAGGTGTCCCAGACCTCCGAGGGGGGTTGAATGTCTTATTTACACATGGAGAAGCCACTGGGCCCAGATGGAGGACAGGTGGTGGAGACGGGATACGAGACAGATAGTCCAGAGCTCTCCTCCTCTTCACGCCGATAGGGTCTTTCTCTGTCGAACAGTTTGCTGCAGGAGGTTTCCTGCTGACAGGTGTGAAGGATCCGAGGCTTCTGACTGGCAGCTGAGAAGTCACCTGCATAAAAGGACACATTTTTAGTTTTGAATGAATATGAAGTGGTCATGAGAGCAAATGCATGGAAGAGCAAGTACATGAACTCCCACTTGCTTTTGTGTCTTGTCTTCTGACTGTTGTAAAAGCTGGGGCTCGTGTTTGCAGAGCTGGAGAGGAGATGGACCTCAGGCCATCAGATGTTACTAAATATGAAAGCTTCTCTTCAGCAATTAGAAAGAAGTTTTCCTGACTCTGAAAACACAAGATGAAAGTAATAGTTATGTTATTTTCCTATTTTACAACATTTTATTGTATCCAAACCAAAGAGGTGGAGAAAAGTAGGACGAGAAAGCTTAAACCTTTATAAACAATCTTCGTCAGATCATTAGAATATTACATATCTCGGCACTTACACCGTACCAATATCCTGCATGTCTCATGTGTCTGTATGCAGTTTTGCATCTGTGCTTTATAGAATACTGATCAAAGTAAGTTTGTCTCTTTCCAAGTGTGAAATTAAGTTATATAAGATACGTTACAGGTCATTATAAAAGGCTACACTGATTAAAACGTTTCCACTTTGAAATGCATTTGTTGAAAATATGCAGATTTCTTCAGAACATGAAGCCCTTCGGCTGTGAGAGCATCCAGCCTTTTAAAGAACAAGGCGTCTTTAATTGAGTGAATGGTAAAACACTGTTTCTGAAGCACGTCGGCTGCTGTACCTGGACCAGGTTTCTGTTTCGGCTGAGTGATTCCTGTAGATGGCCTTCCTTGGGGTTTGTTGAGAAGATGGTCAGATCTCCGGCGAACACAACAGGAGTGGGAGACGTGGACTGACCTCTCAGCTGCAGGTTGCTCAGAGTCAACAGGACACGTGGTTTTACCAAATCCTCCAAGCCAGACTGAGCAAAGCTGGTGAAACAGCGCACTTTGACAAAGTTGAGTTTCCCATCGGCCAAATAGAATGCAGGAGAGAAACCTGTGTTCAAAAGCACAGACAATCATTTAGTAAACAATATACTGGAGTTATGGCAGGAACTGGTAGGATAAAAAAAAGCCTACCCTGTCCATCTATGATACTGATTACATATCCTGCGAGATCAACTTCTCCACACAGCGACTGGAATTCTGGGTTTTGAAGATCCACAAAACAGGTAGAGACCCTCGGTTGAAAATGTGTGGATAACCATTCCTGAGAAGCCTGAACGATTTACAAATATTACATATTGTAAATTATTTCCATCATCTATCTGACTTTATAAATACTGCATCTACAGTTCATCATGGACACTGAGTCAAGACAGTTTGTTTCCACAGTACCTGTAGGTCCTGGAACTGCGTTTTCTTTGTCCCAGTCAGCTGAACAGTCGTGCTGCCACCGTGTTTCTTTCCATCCGAAGTGGTGAGATTATAGGCTTTGTATCGACAGCCTTCCTTCAGGAAAGACTGAAGATCTGAGGACGGTCGCCAAAGGTTTAACTGGTAAACTAAAAAAAAAAAAAAAAAAAAAAAAACATCATTTGAAACCAGTATTTTGAAAACACAATAGTATATACAACCATAGCACATCTACAATGAATAAAAACACACCAGTGCCACGTTGGTCCGTGGAGTCAGCGACACAGAGTCGCCACACAGGTGTAACGTCTCGCTTGGGGCAGCTCCCTTCGCTGTCCTCTGCACTTTCTAAAGCTCGTCGGTAGCGATCCTGCAGGTCGGCCTGCTTCTTCTCCATCAGAGAACACCTGTAGGCGCGTAGAGTCTCCAACTGATGGTCACCCAGATGAGCCTTGGACACGCAAGTGAAATAGGCACGCAGTTAACACTCTGTTCATAAGAGACATTAAGTGAACAATCTGTGAAGCAAATTTCTTATCACCTCGAGGTAAACTGGGTCATCCCCCACTGCTTCATAGAGCTCCTCTCCACCTTGAAGACTTGCAACACCCTGACAACTGATGCTCCGTCTTCCACGCTGAGGTTTATTATTACCTGAAGATGATAATTGTGTTAAAACTAATTCCATTTCAACCTGTACCTAACATGGTGAAATCACAGTTCCTACCTTTGTCCTCCTTTTCAAATTCTTCTTGAATCTTGGTGAACAGGATCTCCATCGCTTTTTGCTTGAGGCCGTTGTATCGTCTCGCCTCCTTCTCTTCGGCACGAACGGATCGGAAGACAACGCCTCCGTCTGGTTTCCTCTCCATCCACTGCACAATGTGACAAGCGTTCAGTCAAAAGGGGACATGATAAACTCCCAGGTGTAACAGTGACAATATATCAATGCAAGACTAAACGCACCTGTATGGGGTAGCTTCTCAGTACGACAATGTCCACACATCCCACTGGTCCTCCGCTGCTGTACAAACAGGCGACAGGAAGCAGGAACGGCCTTGGATCCTTGTGAAATCCCAGCTTCGCATCCCATCGTGCGGGTCTGCTGCTATTGGCGCAAATCTAAACACAAACCACAAATAAGCCAATTTATAAGATTGCCTCGTAGAAAAGACAGAATAACTTGTGCTTCTTGAAGTACCTTCAACATGAGAGATTCAGGGGCCTCCAGAGGGGAGCAGGCTTCTTGTGATCCCACCAGCTGAGCCCCATGGATGATCAGTTTGCCACCGACAGCTACGCGACCGCTGTGCAGCATGGCGGTCAAAGGTTCATCCAGCTGGGCTTTAATGGCATACCATCCGTCTGTCAGCCAGACAACTGCAGAGGGGTTTTCTACCTTGGCGTCGGCACCTCGTGGGGTCTTGGTGTCGTTGAAACTCCGTCTGTTGGGGGTCTGACCCCTGGAGACGACCCCGCAGACGCAGAGGACGAGGGTTTTGGCTGCCGTGTCATCCTTTTCCATGATCTTCCTCAGAGCCGGCCTGCGGCTGTGGTCCACCTCGACATCATATCTGACAGAAAATGAATTTAGTCAAAATGACATTTAAATTTATTAAATACATTTAATAGAACACATTGGATTATCTTGATTGTATGAATACAAAATGAAAATAATTCAATCCTTATATAATGTAATTAATCCGGCCTTTGAATCTTTCACAAAATGGCAGTAGTATGTTTGATATCATTGTTAGTTCAGGGTGTGGATGTCTCGTTAAACATGATGAAATTAACTTCAACAACAGGAACACATTGAACTAAAATACGCTACAATCCCTCCCACCTGTACTTGAGCTGCAGGAGAACCTGCTCTGGGGTGAGACAGAGGCTGCCCATTGTTTCTGGAAATGATCTTTCCATGGACGCTTGCTTCCACACAACCCATCGGTAGTGATTGTCCACCCAGCCCTCACAGAGCAGTTTAGGATCCACACCTGGGGTGTCACATAATGCTCTGTGGACAGCGTAGAACAAGATGGCATTTAGTACAATCAGCCTGCTTTTAAAGACACACCTCGCTTCACAAAACCTACGAAGCCTGATTTAAACTCAACTAAAAATCAATAATACCTATGAAACTCTTCTTTCCCTGCCGTCCCATCCTTGCTGGGGATCAGCCATCCTCCATCGGCAAGCTGAACCCCGCCTCCGTCGAGAAAAGCTTTCCGTTTGATGAACTGCTTCAAACTGAAGCGAAAAGATTCTGCAGTCTCACTGGAGATCTCACACACATGCTGATGAACTCCATGTCCATACAGCTGAAGAACAAGAATGTGTCAAAAAGCGTTAGCGTTTTTAACCAAACACAACAGAATCTACCGACACAACGCTTCTGGCCTTGCCTGTTTCGGGGTGTATCTTGCAGGAGGCCTTCCGTTCACTGCAGCCCTCAACGGTATCCTCGTCACTCCCGAGGTCTTGGTTAGAAACAAACTTCCCGGCAAAGGTCGAACGGTCTGTCGCTTCTTTTTCCTGATCCTCATGTCTTGCATATCTCGTGCCAGCTCTACATTATGAAGATTCTGAAATATATCTGTAGAAACATAAACACATCATTAGTTTACCTATGGTATGCAGAGCTATTTACAGTGCTGACTTTGTCCAAAAAGCTTACTGCACCTTGACATGTGGACAATGAGTCCTCCACATGTGATGTCTCTGCAGCAGTGTCCTCTGATCCACAGCCAACAGGGAGCTTTTGATTCTTCATCAGTTTGACACTTGTATTGTCAGCCAAGGCCACCGCCTCAACGTCTTCTGTGCTTTTATGACCAGTTAATCCTGTAGTGCACTGTGTTTTCTTAGTGGGCGGTACATAAGCGTTGCTGTTAAAGGGCGTTACAAAGGGATGGTGGTGTTTATCCTCCTTCTCCTCCACCTGTGGTTCAGAGGAGCTCTCTTGGACACCAGGTCTTTGTCTTTTGAATGGAGGAACAAATGCAGAAGGTGTTCGCATGTTGTCCTTGAGCATCGTGTCCTTGTGACTCTCTGTCTTTGTGTTGCTGAGGAAAGGAGGAACGAACGCTGGCTTCTTGGAATGTGCCGATCTGATTTCTCCTGGGGTTGAGTATTGTGTTGGTGTTGTATTTTGCAATCTGGTTTCCATATATTTTTTTCCATTGCTGCAACACACACACAAAAAAAAAAATACATCACAAAAGAGCTGAAAAGCGTGTCAGCTGTTGAAAACATGGCCGAGTAAATCACTTCTACTTACGTGTGTGGCCTCGTGATGTTTGGATGGAGAGAGACACTGTACTTAAAGATCCTTCTGTCTTTCATCACACCTTCATTAAGATAAAACTCAGATCAGTTCATGTACAAGACACAATATGACTTCTTTAGATATCATGTTATTACAGCGTTATTTACCGTTTGGACAACTCTTTTCCGGATGGAGTGTTGAACCATCAGCAGTTCTGTCAAATTCTTCCAGTAATCGTCTTTTCAGGGGAGGCTGACCTAGAATGGTCAGGAAACCATTAATGGTTAACAGTGGGAACAATCTGTTTAAATTAGAATATCCATTGAAGACCGCAGTGAAATATCTATGTAAGCAAATAATTCAGATTCAATAAGTACTTTTGACAATCTGTGCAGCATTAACAAAAACATGTTGTACTACTTAAAGGTCTGAGTAATAAACACTTACCAGTCATATCCGGGTCCTCTATTGATCTTTTGTCTGTGCCCCGTCGTTCCTCTACAGACCTCTGGCTGGATTTGGGGTTTTCTTGCAGTGGCACATTTTCTAAAGTCATTGAGAGACTTTGGGCAGCTAGACTTTCGTCCTCTAACAAAGCCTTAGTGCAGTCCAGCGCTTCCTGGGCAAAGAACCTCTGCTGGGTTTCAGTGCAGCCACTCAGGTTAAGTGACTGGAAGTTTAGAACTGAAGACACCTGTGGCCCTTTGACCGTAGATCCCGCTCTGCTGCTTGTCTGCTTTACACTTGACATTTCCTCTACAGGGCCATCATGGAGGTTGCCCAACACCGGTGGGGTCATTTTGTCTTCTCTGACCCCACATGCATCTGCATGTTCCTGGTCTTTGATAAAAATGCAACGGGGTACACTTGTTTTATTTTCATGGTGAGTCTCTTGTAAAGAGGATAAAGATTTAACTACGTGAGGGGCACTAAACCTGTCCTTGTACCTGGCTGTGGTGGGATTACAAGGTGTCTTCACACCCTTCACTTTTGATAGATCTGACTTACCGTCATGTGGGCTTGTCGAGTTTGAATCATGACGTTCAACATCAGCTAAATCTGTCAGTTTTTCTTTTGCTTTCAACAGATCTTTCTGTGACACGTGGACTTTTGCTCCCCCTGCAGTTGTGAAACCACAATGTGTTTTCTCTGTGTTGTCGGCATTGTCTCGTGTCTCGTCACCGTTCCTTGCATCTGGAACAGCTGGGATCTCTGCATTGAACCCGATGTCACTGAAGAGAGCTTTTGCCTTCTGGAGGGCCTCAGATAAAAAGGCCACTCGCTTCCCACTGGCTGCAAGAAATCCACTATTCCTGGGTGTTGGACCAGGAACCGGCATCTTGGAATGGGTTGGTTTAACAAAGATGTGATCCTCAACTTCATCGCATTCACTCAACAGAGTTTTTGCTTTCTTTAGGGCTGCGGATGAAACGGCCACTCCTTTGCCGCTAGCTGTCTGAAATCCACCACTCTGTGGTGGAAAAGTGTTTTCTTTTTGTTTCAGTTGTCTGTTTGTGTCCTCAAATGTAGCACTTTCATTCAATAGAGACTTTGCTTTTGTCATTGCGTCATCAGACACGGATACTTTTTTCCCGCTGGCGGTGCAGAATCCACCAGCTTTGCTCATCTCATTCATGGCGGAGGAGCTACTGTTCTTTGATGTTGTGCACAGCAGGGCAGAAAGAGTCTTCGTCACCAAAGATGGCTTTCCATGTAAAGCAGCTGCGTTGGAAAAATCAAATGTATTCTTAAAAACACCTTTGTGACTCTCCACATCATCAGGATGCATCTTCTCATGGTTTTCAACTAACCCCGTGTTCACATTTTCAAACTCAGTGTGTCCCCCTCCGAGCTCTTCAGAGATGTTTATGTCCAACCTCTGATCTTCTTTACATTTTGAAAGGTTTTTCTTCTCGCTGCCACTTCCGCACACAGGTGCTTTACTTTTCTTCTGTTTTACTGACATGCCATCGTTACCATCCATCATGGCACAGTCCTCGAAGAAAGCGTCCGCTTCTTGCATTGCTGTTGCTGAAATAGAACAGTCATCGAATCCTGTCGTAAGGTCTTTTGCTTTCGACAGATCTTTCTGTGACACGCGGGCTTTTGCTCCCCCTGCAGTTGTGAAACCACAATGTGTTTTCTCTGTGTTGTCGGCATTGTCTCGTGTCTCGTCACCGTTCCTTGCATCTGGAACAGCTGGGATCTCTGCATTGAACCCGATGTCACTGAAGAGAGCTTTTGCCTTCTGGAGGGCCTCAGATGACAAGGCCACTTGCTTCCCACTGGCTGCAAGAAATCCACTATTCCTGGGTGTTGGACCAGGAACCGGCATCTTGGAATGGGTTGGTTTAACAAAGATGTGATCCTCAACTTCATCGCATTCACTCAACAGCAATTTTGCCTTCTTGAGAGCTGCGGATGAAATGGCCACTCCTTTGCCGCTGGCTGTCTGAAATCCACCACTTCTAGGTGTTGAAACCTGACTTTGGTTGCAGAGATGGCCGGTTCTTAAAGCATCCCCTTTTCTTTTCAGTTGTTTGTTTGCGTCCTCAGGTGTACAACTTTCATTCAAGAGACGCTCTGCTTTTTTCAGTGTGTCAGCTGATATGGACGCTTTGCTCCCACTGTCTGTACAAAATCCACCAACACTGCTCAATGTATTGATGGTAGAGGAGCCGATATTCTCTGATGTTGTGCATGAGAGAGATGAAAGTGCCTTTGCAGACGGGTTTGTTAAAGCCAGTGTTTTCATAAAACCCAAATTGTGAATCTCCTCGTTATGCTGTACAAACTCTGTAAGGCGCGCAGCTGGTCCAGCGCTCACATTTTCAAACTCACCGATTGGTTCTTTAGAAAAGTTTACTTTCATCCCTTGAACTTCACATGTTGGAAGGGTTTCCTTGTGACTGACACTTCCGGGCAAGGCTTCTAAGATCTCTTTATGTTTAACTGACACGCCAGCGTTACTGTCAATTGCATCACAGTCTCTGAAGAGAGCATCTGCCTCTCGCATAGCTTTAGCTGAAACAGAAATCCCTTTCCCACTGGCCATCTGGAACCCGCTTTGACACGCGACTGTGTCCCTTTTGCTGTTCATCAAACTTTTTGCAGCCTCTTCATCTCTAATGCCTGTGACCCGTCTGTCCTTCATGTTGGAAGAACCGCCCTGAACCCTCCCCTCAGCATCGTTACCACAACCTGTGAACGTAGAATCATCCTCCCCATGAGGCAGAAAGTTACCCGTGGGATTATCCACACTGCACCTCGGCTGTCTTTTAGCATCCGTTTCGCTACTTTGCTTGTCCGGTGCCGTTTGACTCGTCACGAGATTCTCCTCCAAATCTGCAAACAAAGCTCTAGCTTTGCCCAGACACTTTTTCGAAACCCTCAAAACATTTCCTCCTGCGGTCTTGAACCCCACACCGAGCATGAAAGGATGTGTGTTCTGCAGCTTGCTCGTTTCACCGTGCACAGCTCCGTCAAGCTTTTTGGGTCCAGCTGACATAACACTACGACTGCCTTCGGAGATGTGCTTTGAAGAGGTAGAAACCTCGTCAGGAGAGGAGTTTTCTTTTTTCATTACGCTCGACAACGACAAACCTGTGGATTTACACGTGACGTCGGATGTTTCGCGGTTCGTTTTACCATCTGAAATGGAGGTCGTTTCGTCAGGCATCACGGTTGCTGCCTTTTCAGCTTCTGAACTAAAACTGTCATCAAAATCTATACCCGAAAGAAAATGTGGGTCAAGCTCTCTGTCAACTTTTAGGGGAGAGAAGGCATTATCGGGACAGTTTTGTTTCGGCTTTTCAGTTTTAAACTGCGTGAATTCAAACTGGCTATCTGCTTCTTCCAAGAGAGTGCACAGCTCCGTCACATCAGCTCTTTGTGAAGCTGTTAACTGGCAACAGATATCCTCATTTCTTTCACTTGCAGAAAGTGGCTGGTTTGAGTTAGCGGGTGGATTTTTTACTGATCCAGGACTCATTTCCTCTTTAGTGTCGTGGGCACATTTGGTGGGCCGGCCACTTGAAGTTCTTTCCCCTTCAGTCTCTTCAAAGAGACGCTTGGCTCTTTCCAGGTTGGTTGAGGAAATGCATATACCCTTATTTGAAGCTGTTTTGAATCCTGATGGATGGACGGAAGGAAGAGAAACCGTTTTCTCTGGCAGATTGCCACGAGCTTGACCATTAAGGGAACTGCGATTACCGTTTCCGACAGCTTCTTTTGCACTGCTGGGCCGTCGTGCTGATGTGCTCTCTATGTGCAACTCACTCTCTCTGCCAGGGCCCAGGGTCTGGCTTTCCCCGATTGCACTGGGCCGCTTGGCATCCGTTTCGGCCGCTTGTAAAATATCATCCAGATGGGCTTTTCCGTTCCCTTTATTTGTAGATGTGACAGGAGCGGTCCTTTGTTTATCGGCCCACTGACGACCACCGATCTCTGAGCTGGGAAGAACAAATGACGGTGCAGTACCGTGAGCGCTATCTGCAGCAGCAGACTGGAATCCACCGTCACTTATTGTTCCCTCATTGATGGTGTTGTTTTGATGAGCGGTAGAAACGTGTCTTCTGTCACCGGCGCTGTCACGGTGAGGCTTTGCTTGCATTGCCTTCTGCTTGGCTCGCTTCATGGCCGACAGACAAGCCGATGGCGAGAAGCCGTTTCCAGGAGCATCCTCTGGTACTTTACTCAGCTTACAGGGGTCGGACATTTGACTGAAATCTTGTGCGAAATCTTTGCAAAGCTGCGACATGTCAAGATCCTGGATTTTTGCTTGTAAAGAAGGACGTAGATTTCCCCGTTTCTGCATCTCATTCATCCCGACACTGCAACAGTCCGCTTCGTCCGGGGCTTTCGGGACTTCTTGTCCTGAAAAAAAAGGATGAAAAAAAATGTATAAATTCCATTACTGTAGAGAAGGGGCTTTTATCATGTTAATACATAATCTACTTTAGCATTGCTACACTGAACATGCATGAGACATGCGTTACCAGAATCTGGAACTGCGTCCATCCTCGGACACTGCGTTTCTTTTCCTTGAACTTGCAGTTTTGAGGTCTCAACAGTGTAAACAAATGTTCTCTTTTTCTTGGTAAATCCAGAGTCTGTGTGTTTCATAGGTGGCCTGCCTACCAGCTGGCCAGAGTCAGAGTCATGCTGCAGGTGTTCTGTTGGAATATTGTTTTGCACTTGTAGAGCAGGACTATCATCACGGCAAGAAGTTTGCACAGTACAAGGTGGGAGTTCAGATAAACTCAATGGAGACCACTGGGTGATTCCACTCTCTACAGTTTTCACCGGTGGGGGTGAGGGAAGCCTGCCAGGGTGCTGATCAGCTGTTATCTGTTTACTGGACACAGCGTTGTTTGTTGATGAGACGTCCGTAGAGCTGCAGCCATGTTCTTTTGTTGGAATGATGTGCTTTCTTTTGGTTCTGTCAGTTTTCACTTTCCTCAGCGCTGAGCTACTGTTGGTGAAAAATATAGACAGAACATTTTCAGCTCCATCAAGAACACTTGCTACTGTTCTGCGAATTTCTCCATCCTCGATAGCATCCGGTAGAGTCCGTTTCCACACAAGGTCGCTGTGATTCAGTGAGCTGTGGGGGGAGTCGTGGGACTCTGTGTTCTGAACAGCCTCAGCGGAAACCGCACCTGTTGATTACAGACAAGCAATAAGTATCATTTTGCATTACGCATCTAAAAGCCTGTGCAATGGAAAAATAAGTATCAATTTGTTGCAATTCATATTCAGAGCTACTGCACCATCTTGGATACGAGCAAATTGTAATAAAAAAACACAGTACCTTGGAGGATGGTAGGTAGGTCATTGTTTTTGGGCGACACCGCTCCAACTCTGGATGCATTTGAAAGAGACGGAAAAAGCTTCCGTACAAACTGAGAGAGACAAAAACAGAAGCAATTTGAATTGTCACACCGGCTTATTCACTATGTTTACTGTACACTGGGAACAAGATCTGGACCCTCCACTTTAGAGTACATGACTCCTCTCGCTGTAGCTTAGGAGGGAGGGAGGGACAGGTTACGTTTCAGAGGCCAGATATGCGTCTGTGTGTGCTAGGATGTAGTTTTTCTGTGTGTGTGTGTGTGTGTGTGTTGGGATGTTTTTGTCTACAACTCGGAAAATTAAAGAGTTATAAAAATATAAAATACATAAATGAATGGGAACATCTGCCTTTTTTCTTCCTCTTGATCCCTTATCTATTGACATTTCATATGATATGATGATACAGATCATGAAATATAGAATAAGCAGAATATTTGTAACTCGTTTATTTCTCCATTCTATAAATTGGGGAGATATATCTCTTGCATGTTTGGACTGGACAAAGTACTCACCACAACATTTCTGTCTGCAGAAACACTCACTGGAAAGGGACTGTCATCACTTTTAGCTATAATATAAAGACACAATTATTTACATGTAATTCACATATCTAGATTTACAAACAACAACCAGTTGTGTGATTTGCTTACACAAAATGAGGGTGGATGGTACGGCTGGTGGGGTATTCAGAGAACTGGTCCATGACATATCAGGATGAAGCTGGGCTCTGAGACATTCAGACATTTGGTTGTCATAGCTGACCTGTATCATTCAAAAAAAACAGAATAAAGAGGGGAAACATTAATGTTATCCATTTCTCCACATACTGACATTTGCTGAAAATAAGCGAACATCACTGTTAGATTCAGGACACTTACTGGGGATGTGTGTGGGGTGTGAAGCAGATCTGTGCGTATGACAAAAGCAAACAAATTAACCAGAGGTGATTACATCTTTTTTTTCCAGATATAATCCAAACAGATGAAATACAGACACATTTACAGCTCACCAAAACGGTCCTGACTCCGAGGATGAAAACCTCCATATTTTGCACCTGGGATCCTATAAAGACCACAACAGACATCACAAACTGCAGTGACAAAACATGACATTGGCAAAATTACTTTTAAATTATCTCCATAAACACTGAATTAACAAAGTACGGGAATATATTTTAGATGTGAACTTTTTCTATTATTATTATTATTTCTGTAGTATTTTCTCAAAGAACAATTCTTCACCATTAAGAGATATATAAAACAATATTTATTCCTTTTTTGCTTTCACTGAACAGCCCTTCAGAATTCCTAATAACATTGAGACAGTCAAGTCTCAGAGTTGTTGCACTCACCTCTCTTTTGACGTCTGGAACAAATATGGACTTTGTGTTGTCGCCCACGGCAATGTTTCCTTTTCTAGGTGGTACCACAGAGAAACAGTCATTTTAGATGCAACTTCAAGAAAGCTTTTCAATGCAGACACAAGTAGATTACTACAATATACAACAATTAATTCATAATGTCCCATGCAGACATCCATATTCTTGTTGTGCTTAGCATGAGTGCATGTACGAGAAATAATAACATAAATAAAGACATGCAGTACTGTCGCACTTTAATCAAACATAACCTCGTTCACCAGTGAATGACTGCTCATCCTCAGTTTCAGGAGACACAACTCGTCTGTGCCTGAAGACTTTGGGGGTTGAGAACAGCTGACTGTCTACTGCAGTTTTGTCAAAGGGTGTTTTAAAGTTGGCCTCTTGGTTCCCACACAGGTCATCTTGATCAGAGACATTGCCCTCAGTGAACATTTGAGATGTCAGTGTCTCAAACCAGTCGGGATCCAAGGGTCCCAAGTCTATATTAGAAAATGAATAATGATATGAAGAAGAGCAATGAGAACACAACCTTTATGTTTTGTCTGTTGTGATTGCACAAAAAGTACCATTATCTGATTATGCTGCTGGATTTAAAGGATTAGACACACTGTAATGCATTATAACAGTCCTGCAACATGGACAATCTTTGTGTAGCTTGTCATGTTTACGTTTTATTGTAAGGTAAACACAGACGTCTTACCTTTCCAGATTTCATCTTTAAATGTCTCGTACATGTTTTTAGAGGGTAAGTCCATTCCAGGTGATTTAAGTAACCCCTCAACTTTGTTATGTGGCACAGCTGCGAGGACAAAGTAACACAAGTTAAAAGTTTAACTTATCTCAGTCAACGTTAGTATACATTCCCCAGGGTGGGCAAGGAAAGCCTTGGGCAAGCTGCTAGCGTTGATCAACTTCATCAGCTTTCGTTAACGTTAGGTAACTCAACTTGACATTAAAAATACTTCGGAAAAAATGGCGACAAAGTAACGCTTGCTAACGTTGGACTCACAGCCATGGCAAATGTTATAGTTGGTTGCCAACGCCTTGAAAACCCCCTCACGCATCATGAAGGTTAACTTACATCGACTGCTAATGTTACACGTTCACAAAAAGAAAACAGAGCAACAATAGATGTAACTACTTACTTTAACTACGTTAGTCTAACTTACCATGGCGGCGTAGTGTTGACTTTCATGTCTCAATGCGACTATTGACAAAATGTTGACGACATTCCACAAAACCACGATATGAAATGATAAAGAAGTTTAAATAAGAGTCAACCTGCTAGCTAGTTTACTTTGCCCTGCTTAGAAAACAAACGTCGCGCGCTGCACACCGGAACTCAGTCTAACTTCAAAATAAGAGTCCGGTTTAAATTAAACTATGGAGACTGAAGTCCAGCTAATTGCACATGCTTTTAAAACAATATGGGGCTCATTACATGTTTTTAATAGCGAGAGGCGATTATATTCGACTCGGTTGCATTATTTCAACAACAGATGAACATTATATTTGAAACCGTATACTCCATTTCTGCCCTAAGTTTAGCCTTTCAGGCAGACTTTCCGACTGAGCCACACGTCACCCATGGTTCCTTCTGCCATGGATGTGTTCTTTATACATCTATGCCTCCTGCCCTGGGTATAAATGCTGCTGCCAATGGTGTTTTGAATCTTACCGATACACCTGACAGGCAGTGCTTTTTGAGTGGTGCTAACTCTTGTCTGGAGGTAACGCTCAGGGTATGCAAATCCACGTTTATGAAACGAAAATAATAATGGTGTCGCGATCTATGCAGAAACAAAAGTGCAAACGTTATTATATAGTCTTTAACAGCCCGACGCGTGGCGCATTGTAGGAACGCAAGAAAACAAACAAAGATACTTTTAAACGTATTTATAAAACGTCACACACAAACGTAATCAGGGAGAAAATACGTTTCCGGTCAAACGTATTTGAGAATACATTTTAGTGTTGGGGGAACGTCGTTTTTAGGAGTGTTGCAATATTATAACCTTAACTGTTTTGATGGAGGCTACTCTTACTTAAGGAAGGGATGTGTTCTTACTCCATGGTATATAATTATAAAAAAATAAGCTTGTATTGACTTGAACTAAAAGATGCTTCTGATCACTAGGCTTAAAGGCAAAATGTGAAGCCGATAGTACGGAAGCTGTTGTTTCTGCGAGTATTATCAGCAGAAAAACTGCTCCCGTTTTGGCCTTTCCTCCCCTCAGCCATCTCAAACATTTAAATGGTGACATCAGAGGGTGAAGTGAATAATCAGACAACCTACTTTTATGATAAGATGAGCCTTTGGTATCAATGACTTTCTTTTGTGATCAGTATCAGTCTCCTTACTATGATAATGTGGAGAAACATGGCTTTTGGATTTTTAGTTTCCTATTCACTTTCCGCTTATAGTTAATGTTTGTTTAACTGTATACATTTCAAAAATGAACAAAGGTGTTGATGAAACATTTGCTTTATTTGATGCAATAACTTGCTGTGAACATCAAGTTCAAATTTGTTGACATTCTGATCATTATTTCCAGAGCTACATATCACTCTTCACAGGAGTGAATGAGAACTTGACATCCTCCAGCCCTTGGAGCTCCTGACTAGTGCAGAGTTCCTCCTTAACGTGTGGGGGCTCTGGGTCCTCCTGTTTCAGACTGCTGAGGGGGAACCTCTTCTTTAACGACCAACAGCTGCTGGAGGTCTGCAGGAAAACAGTAAACACACACAGAGACGTCACAAAGGCATTTTAGTATTGAGCAAATCCTTTACATATACTTTTTTTTCCTGCCATCATTCCCTCTTACACTCCCTGTGCAGTTACCAAACAGACATGCTGACACAAATCATAAAGACACAACGCACCAGCAGCAATGAGGTCATCAATAGTTTACATGGCAAAAAAAGTGTGGTCATGGCTGCAGCCGCAGCCCGACTATCTACAAAAAGTTCCCTAATCCTTAAAATTATTCTCAGCTAAACAATGATCTAAGTGATTATCTTTCATTGATGACCCTGTTCTTCTGATCAAACTCTGTATGACATCACTAACGTTACCCGAAGGCTGCTCCACAAACAGATGTTCTGCTTGTTGGTCACATGTTGTGAAACTGCTGCTGCTTCCTCTCTTACTTGTGAGGGTTTATTGTGAAAACAGATTCATGAAAAACATGCAGACCTTATAACATGTCCTGTAATGTGAAGGGATCATTTTTATTCTACTTATCGACATCTTCATTTGTCAGCTTCTAGTAAAAAAATATCTTCAAAAACACAGATATATAATTTAATTCTTTCAAAAAAGGCTCAGTTAAAAAAGCTGGTCAATTTAGTTTTTATCAAACACACTTTATGTTTTGTACTGATAAGTTTCATGCAGAGCCAAACGTTAAAGTGCTTCAACATTGTCTATGAGATCCTGTACCTGCCGACTCGTACATGTAACCACAGGTTGTCAGGATCCCTGTCTGACCCGTTGTGTGTTAACCTCCGTTTCCCCTGATCTCCTCTCATGTGTTCTGTCATTCCCCTGTTATTGTGGGCTATGTGCTCTGTCATTTTCCTCTGCCTCCAGACGCCTCCCATTCCCCGTTCCCGCTGGGCCGCAGCGGTTCCCCCTTCCCGCTGGGTTGCAGCTCACTCCGGCTCCCCGTGTCCCGACGGCGGTCCGGCCGACTCCGGCTCCCCGTGTCCCGACAGCGGTCCGGCCGATTCCGGTTCCCCGTGTCCCGACAGCGGTCCGGCCGACTCCGGTTCCCCGTGTCCCGACAGCGGTCCGGCCGACTCCGGCTCGAGCTGCCGCGAGCTCCAGTCCCTGCCACCTCTGAGCCGCGGCTAACCCCGGACCCGGCGACCTCCAGTTCCTGCCGCTAACGTTCCCCGGAGCCCCGTCTCCGAGAGTCAGAGTCCTGTTCTCAGTCTGAGCCCCAGTCTCTAGAGTCCTGTTCCCAGTCTGGGGACCTGGACGAAGGCCCGAGCAACCCTACTCCGGTCTGCCGAACGCTACGCAACAGCGGCTAACCGACACCGCACTCAAGCCCCCATCTACCAGGTGGGTCAGAGGGTGTGGTTGTCGACCCGGGACCTACCCTTGCGGGTAGAGTCCAAGAAACTGGGCCCAAGATTCATCTGGCCTTTCGAGATCGAGAGGATCATCAACCCGGCGGGAGTGAGGCTCAAGCTCCCCAGATCCATGCGCATCCACCCCACATTCCACGTATCCAAGGTCAAACTGGTCCGGGAGAGGCCCTTGGTGCCGGCTGTTCCTCCTCCTCCGCCCCCTCGAGGGAGGTCCTGTCTCCACGATTCATCGCCTGCTTCGCTCCCGCCGCTGGGGGCGAGGTCTTCAGTACCTGGTCGACTGGGAAGAATACGGTCCGTAGGAGAGGCAATGGGTTCTGGCTTGTAACATTTGCGACCCCCGACTCAACGACAGTTTTCATCGACAGCACCCGGACCAGCCTTCCAGGACTAAGACGCCTGCCGGGAACACCCAGCCCCTGTTCGGACAATGAGGGTCTTTCCTCCAGTTCCGTGGACCCCCTCCACCCACCCGGCTGTGGATTCCGACTCTGCGGCCTCGGAGGAGTTCTAATCAACAAAATCAAATAAAAATGTAATCAATGTTCTATGTTTCTACATAGAACATTGATGCTATCTAACTGCAATCAGGCTCTGCCTTGCTTGCAGAATAGGCAGGCCCAGATCCCTTTGTTTCAAAGCACATGGTCAGATCCCAACAGTACGTTAGTACATTCGTGGATGTGTGCGAGCAGCAGTGACTGCAATCCCAATAATAGCAGTATCGGCAGCCGGAATCGGGCCGGTGTATTTGGCCCGATTTTGGCTAGTAATTCATCAGCCGAGTCGGCAACCCGGACTCGGGCCGACGCGTTTCTTCCGGCATGCCGAGCTTGTGCCGGAGCTGGGCCACGTCATGTTGGCTACCTGGGATGTGTTGGTGATGCAGAGACACCCGAGGCTTTGCTAGCTAAGCCGTAAAAGCATCATGCTCAAAAGATGTTGGTTCTCTTTGGATCGACCTACATATGTGAACAAACATTCTCCGTGATGGAGTTTAATTAATCCAGATCCAGATCCTCTCTCAGTGACCATCACCTGTCAGCTGTCCTTCACATCTCACCTCACACATTCAACCTGACTTCAGTGCACTCGCTGACTGAACTGACAAACAGAAAATGAGGTCATTGGACTACAAACAATAGTAATAAAAGTACTAATCTATCAGAAACATGATCCCTGTCAGTGTTTTACTATTATATGTGGATATTACAAATGTATATTTGTTTGGATCATTATTCCTGCTGCAGATGTTTCAGGTGGAGCTTATTTTAACTATTTTATACTCTGTTGTTCAGTTTGGGTAGTTAGGAAAGGTTTGAAAAATTATAATGTTTAAAGTAACTAGTAACTAAAGCTGCCAGACCAATGTAGTAGAGTAAAAGGTACAAAGTTTAATCAAATAGAAATACTCAAGTAAAGTACCATGAATTTGTACACAAGTACAGTACTTAAGCAAATATACTTAGTTATGTTCCCTCACTGATCTTACCACTCACAGCTTATCAAAACCACACGATTTACTTTTTATAAAGAGGTGGAATAATATAGAGCAGGACTGAGTTCAGTTTATTGGACTGAATATTGGACTCTCCACAACAGTCCCTGTTTCTCATGTTACCCCTTGGGAAAAATAATTTGCCCAAACCTGTTCTAGAGACTGCTCTCGGGAACCCATAGGTCAAGGTTGAACCATTGTTGACCATAGTTAGGATGGGAGTGGTTTGGTGTTCCCGCCATCCGCTGCACCCCCTTTCCAGCGTAGCAATGGAGCCAGATATTATAATAGTTTAATGAACTCAGAACAGAGGACAGATCAGAAGAAGAAGATTCATTGCAACCGAATCTCACTCCAAACTACATTAAAAAGTTAGCAGCCGGAGCATGAATAGTGTTTGAAAACTGAGAGACGAAACAAAGTGAACCAACCTGCTCTTTGTTTCCGGACTTCCGGGTTGAAAACAGCGTCCAGTAGTTTCTGTCGACGCGCGTGCTCCTCTTTAGTACGAGAAAGTTCCTCCTCGAGCGCTGCTATCTTTCCTTCAAACATACGAAATACGTCTTCACCAGCCGCAGTTAGTCGCTGGCGGAATAAAGTTCTCAGCATTTGGTCGTTAGACATTTTTACTAAACCACAGAATTGTTTCCTCCAGATAAAGTCAAAAACGTGGTGCTCACTCTGACCTGCGCTGTGTTGCTAAATTAGGTTCCGGTCCGTCTACTTCCTGCTAGCATGCTAACGTCATTAGCTCCGTAGGACAACTGCGGTCACGTGAGCCGTCACCCGCGGATTAGTTCCACATGTAGATACAGAAAATATGTGGTAACCGTAACAGTTGTACTTGTATAATATAATTGATAAAATATATACTGTTATAACGAAGCATAATAACTATTTAAAAATGAACATACCGTTTGTCTTTTCCATATCTTCTGATTGTATATGTATTTAATGTTCAACACCATGATATTAAACTGTATATCACAGACAATTGTATTCTTTGCACAGAAGACAAGCTACATGTTTTCTTTCCAAGTATAAATTAACTGAAACTAAATGTCATCTTTATAAGAGCCAGGGTAAAACAAACAAAACTCCAACACATCTCTCTATATACAGTAAATACACACTTTCACTTGGATGTACTGTACCTTTTTTAAAGTTTGTGTTTATTAGTTGTTGACACCGGCTTCTGTTTTCTTCCTTTTGGCTATATATATTTTATATTCATTAATTAAAAACTGTTGCCTGACAGTTTAGAATCAATGTTTATAGAAGACTCCAACTCTGATAGAGTAGATGTTTACAAATGGTCACTGTTAATGTACAGTCATAAAGAAATGCATGCTGGGTAGCTCCCGACTAGCAGATTTATACCTCACTAACACAAATCTGAACGAGAGACACACATGAAATCGTATGACAGCAGCCAAAGAGCTCTAATGACAGAATTCCATTATCTGTACTCTCTATTTTGGGTCAAGACTATAACTTTAATGCTGATGCAAGAGTTTTTTGTTGTTTTGCACGTTATATAAATGTGAAATTCACTGAACTTGCAGAATTCTACTCTGAAATGATTATTTACTGCTCTTATGGCAAATAATAAGTGAGATAAGCACAATTATTAGTTATTTGTTCATTTATGTACTTATTTTTTATTCTATTGAATCAGTTACTAGATGTTGCATCACATCACACAGACTCACTAAGGCTCAAAAAATCTCCACACATACCACATTAACCCATATTTCATCCTCCATGTTTTACACTCTAGGGATTTGAAAACAAGGTTATTTTGGTTTGAAGGCTTCAATTTTGTCGAAAAATAATAATAAAGCATATTTATATATCACAACAAGCGTCAACGTGTTTCCCAGGCAGACATGAAAAGAACAAAGGATAACATATAATGCAGATACAGTCACATTTCCACATAAATATATATTTACAAACACACATGAATAAATCTGATTGAGTTCTGTAAACTACAAGTAGCCTACAGATTGGATCTAACAGGAAGTAACTGTTTCTTTGACTTCCTGTTTATTCTTTGAAGGCAGCTGAAAACTGTTCCACTTGACAGCAGTTTTATTTTAACGCCCCCTGCTGCTGCCGCCCGCTCTCGTCCACTTTCCATGCGAGGCATTAGGATTAACAATATCACACAAATCACAAAATGAAACCACAGATAACAAATGTACGTTTTATTTTTACTGTTACATAAGTGTACAGAACACCAAAGTACAGTACATTGCAAAGGCAGTAGTATTTACACGGCGAGAAGCTACACAAACAGTTTGTGCGGAATCTTTATAAATAGCTATCTCTTTCCCTCTACATGCAGCTCAAATTGTAAGTTCATAAAAATACAATCTTATGAGTCTGAGCAAAGCCCCCATTGCACTATGTGCAATCATTCAGTTAAAATAGTATCTGTATTTGTTCATAAACATGACCATTACACTTACATAGAATTTGCAAGCTTGGCAGGTTTAAAGATAAAACAAACTGTTTGGTTTCTATAAATCTAATAAGATAAATGCGTGTTTTTTCTGTTGCAAATAATATTACATAATTTACCTAATTGCTAAAAGCTGCACAGTTAAAAGGTACAGTAAGATGTTTCATGTAACAGATAGCCCACCCAGCAGCATGTAGTGTAGGTTTGGGAGACGTTACAGTAGTTTTGCAGCATGTCGAAGTAGTTAAATGCAAACAATTTCTGTAAATCAGTATTCATAATTCCATCTGTGATGGTCTTCTGGTTTATGTCACACACTCGAGCACCCACACACACCACAAGCACACAGAAACACACACACGAAAGACCCACTACCTTTACCAAGTAATGAAGCCTCCCTTTTTCTGTACTAACAATGTTTATGTTTTCCAATGCTATGATATTCAAATACATTCTTTCAGGATACAGTAAAATTCTTCCACTTCAGTGTAGGATTGCACATTTTCCCTTGACAATTAAAACAACATAACTGAAAGAGAATCACTTAGCTTTGGTATGTCATTTGCTAACTAAATGTGAAAGTTGTTGACCTCAGTAGCAAATGGTCGCTTTGTGACAATTTCTATTATTAGTGCAATAAAAGCCTACGTTTCTCTGCAACAGCAAAGTCTCTCATCTTTCTAAAAACAAACAACAGTATTGCTGCACATCTGATGACCTGACTTTATGACATTCTGATGTGCTCTGAGCAGGAAGAGGAAAGGGGGTTTGGTTTTTCCCAGGTGAGAGCAGAGCGCTTGTTAACCACTGAGACAATAGCAGCAGCCCCCAAACAGGACCAGAGGCTAGGCATGGGACAGGTTGCTGTGCAGGAACGGGTGTCAGGCGCTGCCAGACCGTCATCAAAGAGTCGAGCCCGAAACTCTGGAGTCTGGGAGGAAAGCTGCAATGGCTCGGTAGCCTTGGGATCGTCGGATCATGTCCCGGATCTCTCCGTTAAGTTCCATCAACTTGACAGATACTTCTGTCAGGTCCTGTTTAGAGCCCACCAGAGCAAAAGTTCCCGTCTGACCCAAGGTTTGATGTCTGAAGTAGATGTTGAGCAAAGTCTGGACCTCCTCCTCAGAGTGGCTGCCGAAGATGTCTTTAGGCCACATTGTTCTGCATTAAAAAAAGAAATGTTATTTGTTTCACTGGGGACATATTTTGACTACATACATTCCTCATATAGAGAAAAACAAGCCTTTTCTCACCTGCACTCGCGAATGTAGCGGATGGCCGTCGGAAACTCGTTGTTCTTCAGACACTCGAGGATGGCCTGCACAGCAGCCTCGGATGAGCTGAAGGTGGGCTCAGAGCAGGAGCTGTCACACGCAGCAATCTCATCATTCGTCACAGAGGCGGCTGCTACTCTCAGGTTGCTCTTCAACTCGTTTAGCTCTCTGGACATATTTGTCAGCTATAAGTTGAAAGAGATTCATATCATTAATTCATTAGAAGGTGGGTGCCATGGTTCCGGAAAGAGAGAACAAGCAAATGCATTATGTACCTACCTCGGGAATAGAGCCTATTGCATGGACCTGTTCAATCAGTTTACAGTAGGACTGAAAAAGCAGCAACAGCTGAAAGTGGAGTTTGTAGAGTCTTTGACAGAGCTCCAGTTGCTGAAAGTAAGAGAAAAGTGGTTGTTGGCAAAAGGCCTTTTCATTGGGCTAGGTTTCTCTTTCTTATGTATTAACTGATACTTTATCGGGTATGGTTCTGCATTTGGTTGATAGTACACTCACATGAAGCTACTGGTGAACTACTTGTAAATAGAAGTCAGACCTGCGGCAGCTATATAGAACACTTTAAAAGTGCTGACAATAGGATTACAGGGAGCCAAACGTTTGCTTTT